TTATGTATATATATATACACAAACATACATATATATATTTACATGTATATATATATATATATATATTTATATTCATATACAATTTATATTATATATAAATATTTTATATATAAACATAACACAGTATTTTTCTTAAATAAATACATGCATGTGTGTGCACTTATTTATTCATAATAAATATACACAGCACACATGCATATATTATATAAACAAAAAACTTATTTTGGATGCGATTAATCGAGTTTGACAGCACTAATATACTGTGTATATATATATATATATATATATATAGTTATTTTGTTGGTATAAATGAATGTATTTATGTTCAATGATATTAAATAATAATTTTTACTTCAATAAAACCAGTTTATTTAGATGTTAGCATTTTAGGTTACTACTTCTTTTTAGTGTATGAAGTTCCAAATTTTAATAGCTTTTTTCTGTTTAAATGAGATGTCATCAGCAGCCTTGATAACAAGTGGACAAAAACAAACTTAATTCTGTATCAAAACCTTTATGCTCAATATTGTGAAGGACCTGTGAGGTGAAGAAACAGAGTTCACTCTCAACGTTCTCGTAGATGTAATCTTCCTCACAGGAGAACCTGCGAGAGCCGCCACCAAACTCCGGCTTCACAGCTTTCTGCAGTTCCATCTCTTCAGCCCCTCGTAAAAGACTGACCACACAACAAAAAATACATCAGCAACAAAGTCAAACTCAAGCTAGCCTTTAACCATGAAAAACAATAAAGCAAAGAAAAATATAACTTATGCTCCAGGACAAACTGTACACTAGCATTCAAAATTTTGGGGTCAGAAGATTTTAAATTTTTTTCAAATCTATACTTTTATTAAGCAAGAATGCATTAAATTCAGTTTTGTATCACTGAGATACTATTGTAGTTATAGTAGTTTATATTTTGAATTGGATTTTATTTTTATATTTTATGTTTTCATTTTCATTTTAAAGTTGTGTATATTTTAGTCATTTTTATTAGTTTGTTACTTTTATACTTGATATAATAATACAGTTTATATCATTATAATTTGTCTAGTTTTATAAATTTTTATTTCAATTTTAGTTTTAGTCATTTTAATACATCACGTTAAACTAAATGAAAATGAGAAATGTTGCCTTGTTAACTACCTGAAATAAAATAAGACTTTTTTTATTTCAGTTAACATTTATTTAAATAATGATTTTTTTTTGTTTTATTTAACTTTAATAATCTTGATTAAATTGAACAAAAAGTTACACTAAAGGCTTTTACATTGTCACAAAAAATTATATTTCAAATATTTCAAAAAATTTAATGATTTACAAAAATATTGGGCAGCACAACTGTTCTCAACATTGATAATCAGAAATGTTTCTTGAGCAGCAAATCAGTATAATAATGATTTCTGAAGGATCATGTGACTCTGAAGACTGGAGTAATGCTGCTGAAAATTCAGGTTTGATTTATATATATTCATATAGAAAACACTTTCAATTGTAATCATATTTCACAATATTACTGTTTTTGTAATCAAATAAATGCAGCCGTGGTGAGCATTAGTAACTTTTTTCAAAAAACTTTTAAAAAATCTTACCATCCCCACTATTTTGAACGTTAGTGTATTTCATAAACCGTCTTGATTCAATGAGCTCCCATAAGGTCCACAAATTCTCAGGCATTCTTTAGAGGCTCATATTGGAACATGACAATAAACATCAAACTCGCATTTGCTTGACCCTCATGTGTCCTCTTGCATCACCTGAAGAAAGCATTCATAAACACTGGAGATTAAAGAAAAGGAAAGATAAAAGCTCCCTCTCACTTTTCGTATGTGGCCGTGACGAAGAAGGCGTACATCCTGGTGTGTTTGTGATGTCGGATCTGGATAATGAGCTCTGGGATGCCGAGCCGTATGTGGTTCAGAAGCCAGAGCAGTGTGTGGTCATCTGTGGTGTCTGCAGAGACAATTATAAACACCTCATGACCAATATGATATTTATTACACTGAGACACACCACTGGAAAATACCAATTCACAGGCCTGAATAATGTAAATTCACACAAAAACACATGGCTTTTTTTCAAATGTACTTCTTTATATTTTAAATTACAATTCACAATTTAAATTACAGTCCTGTTTGCTTTATCAATTATAAATTTAGGAATTAAAATGGACTTCAAAAGGCATTCTGAATGAAGCCCAACCCTGATATTGAAATAAATAATTTAAGTATCATTGAGATACTGTTATAGTTTTTGTTAACATTCAGAACTAGATTTCTGTCAGGACCACTATCGTCAAAGATGATTGACAATTAGCATAAAGTTTGGATTGGCGGTATGGTTCCATTCTGGGCAAGAACTCCCTGCGCATCCATGCAGCCTAGCATGGATGAGAGCAGGGAGAGCAGCGATAACCCCCCCCAGGGTAAACAGAACAGAACTAACATAAATGTATTGCAGATATCGTTAAAGTTCAATAATTTTATGTACACATTTTAGAATTAGTCTGATTCAAAGGAGAATCAGAAGGCTGAATCCTGACTGACAGAGGAGGAGTTGGGGATGGAGGAGGGTCATTAGCTATTGAGCAATGCGAAAACTGCTGATACTACTGCAGGACCTTATATATGAATACTTAGATAGGTGTCGTATTCCCATAGGTAGATGGGGATCAGCTGAGAGTCAGCTGATGCGAGCTTGACTAACTTGACCTGCCAGAACTAATGCTACGCTAGATATTTTCTTCTTTCATGTTCATTTTAATTAAAGGAGACATATTATGCCCCTTTTTACAATATGTAATATAAGTCTCTGGTGTCCCCAGAATGTGTCTGTGAAGTTTCAGCTCAAAATACTCCACAGATCATTTATTATATAATTTTGAAAATGCCTATTTTGAGTGGAAGCAGAAACACGCTGTTTATCGGGCCTGTCTCATTAAATGCAAATGAGCTGCTGCTCCCCGCCCCCTTTTCCAGAATAGAACTGCGCCATTACAGCTTGAACCTGCTAAAAAACATCTGTTTTGGTTCTGATTATCATGTTTATCGCACTGAAATCATGCGTTTTAAACCATGTGAGTTTAAACTTCTGATATACGGTTTTCTGAGAGCACACATCCGAAGCACACGCACAGAAAGCGGCTGTCACAGCATGTGAGTACTAAACTAAGTTCTCATTCACACACAAGTTTACGTTAAGAACACACGAGTTACAAAAACAGTGGGTTATGTCTGTGAAGGTAAACAGCTGGGAAATAAATCACATGTTTATTTTAGATCTGGGCGGCAGCAGCAATATACAGTAAATAAATCAATAAATTAACTGCTCTCTTGTCTCCTCTGAAGCTGGGACTCTAAATAGTGTTCTGTGCTCATCTGTGCAGTCAAAGACAGAACAGTTAGCATGTTTTGCTCAAACTTTCGCCATGGCATTAGAACTGGTACACCGTTGTTGCTTGTAAAATCTAAATGATGGCACCTGTGGGTGTAAACTTACAGATTAAGAGGCGGTAAAATTATAATGAGATCCCTTTGCAACGTCACCAAGGGAACGAAATCAGACGCGCTTGTTTTCTCAGACACTTGCAGAAAAAGGCTTCCCAAAACAAGTTACAAGTTACTGGGTTAATCTTTTTCACGTTTTCTTGGTTGGTAGATGCACCGGGACCTGATTATAGCACTTTTCATGATATGTCACTTTTAAAGTTTTAGTATTTTTTTGTTGTTGTGTGGTTTTGTCATTTTTTATATGTCTATATAGTGTATTCATTTTTATTTCAGTTTTAGTTATTTTAGTACATCAGGTTAAACTAAAGGAAAATGAGAATTGCTGTCCTGTTAACTAGCTTTTATTTTATTTCATTTATTATTTTATTTTAAGTAACATATTTTATGGACTTAGTTTTACTTAACCACAAAAACCCTGATCTGAAAATAAAGTTCAAAAATAAAGAAGACAACAGCAAATTTTCCATTTTTCACTGGGTCTTGGACGTTTTCACAAACAAAACATGATTTATCTATATTTTTTGTACTAACTCAATTGCTAATAATTGCATGGATCATTTATATTTACACATACAGGAGAACTTCTCACAAATATTTTCCATCTAATTCACAGCATGTGAATTTGTTCTTAACCTTGTTCAAATGTTAGCTATTTGTTTTAACAAACAGAGAAATAATTATGCAATAAACATAAATAATAATTGTGCATTATATATTTCTTCTCACATATTTGTGGAATATGTTACTTACTTGCATGTACTGTTGTGGAATCATCACACTACATATACAGTGGGTACGGAAAGTATTCAGACCCCCTTAAATTTTTCACTCTTTGTTATATTGCAGCCATTTGCTAAAATCATTTAAGTTAATTTTTTTTCCTCATGAATGTACACACAGCACCCCATATTAAAGAGACACCTGGAAACGTCATAAGGACATCACAGTTCTCTGTGGGCACCGTCTTCATCCAGGATTTATGGGACATGATGTGTCTCCCAGCCTGCAGCAGCCGCTTCCCAAATAATTTATCTGAGAAACACAAAAAGGAGAGAGAAAGAGAAAAGAAAACAAACGTCAGTCTCTTTGCAATGTTGCTATGGACAAGCAGTTCATTCTCCCCCCACTCACAGTGCCCAGATTAAATGTCACTCTCATTCCCCTTGAAACATGAGAAGAGGAGACATAACCGAATGCTCCAGCGCTGGGGTCCTGACAGCACAGCGGCAAGTGTCTGAAAATGAACAATAACCTCAGAGACCAGAGAGTCGGCTCAGTGTTTGCGACTGGGGTTGTTAAAAGAAAATGTTAAAATAAATCTTTTTTATATATATATAGATATTACAAGAAGTGTCTCTTTTAAATGTTTAAATCCTTTCTAAACTTTCTACTTTTTAAAACTACATTGTCTGAAGTAAAGCAGCATCATCAAACTCATAACACATGTCACTAGTAGACACATGCAATCTGGCCAATCATCAGTCAGAGCTCACTGGCTCGGATTCTTAGAACTCTCTAAGCTTTATTTTTACTCGGTGTGCAAAGCCGAATGCAGGAGTGATGCCATGCTGTCATAATGCAACACATTTCCAGTGAAAGAGAAGACAACAGATATTAGACGTGCAGAGAAAACGCCTCACAAATAATAAGCAATGAAGTCTGTGAACTTAAAGTGTTTTACCACTGTAAGTGCACTTCTGCTATCAGAGGGATCATCGGGGCCAGACATTAAAGGGGTCATAGGATGATTGATATGATCTTTTAGGGACTTAATGAAAAGTCTGTATATTATACTAATACATATCATGGTACTGTAAAATGACCAAATTCAAATACCACATTAATATCATTGCATCATTCTAAAAAAGGTATATATTCAGTGTTTTGTAAGAAATATAGAAAGGAAAGAGACACCTGGAAACGTCATAAGGACATCACAGTTCTCTGGCACTGTTTACTTCAGCCGCATTAATCGTGAAACTTGCTAATTATCACATTATTAGGAAAGGCGATTTGCAAAGATTCATTACAAAACATTGTACTCACTTCACGAATGATTTGCGCGAACATAGACGCATTTATGTAGATCGGGGGAGCATTCCCTTCAGAAACAAACGTAATCCACTGCGTCTTCAGCGGCTCAGATGTCGGGAGTAAATGACGACTGCTATGTTCATTATTACATCCAACAACAGAACACCTCAATCGCTTAGGAGTCATTCTTGTCTACATCTGCTCCAGAGGTGAAACAATGGCGGACTGATGACAGCTGACTCAGGGCGGGTCTGAGGTAGGGATGGGCGATATGGGCTTAAAAATATATATCACGATATTTCTGGAATTTATTACGATAACGATATCAATGACGATAATTCAGGGAATCCTGTTTCTTTTAAGAAAAGTATTATCTTTCCTATGTTTACCCAAAATGGTGTGAGCATTAATGAGTTCACACGTAATGTAAAGACTGTTTTAATTCATACTGGAAGCCGAAGGGCGCTCTTGCACAGAAACTCCACATATCTATAGCAGAAGAAATACTACTGACGATGCTCCAGGAAGGTATCCAGTTATCGCTGAGTAAAACGCACAACGGAGGGAGAGACACTTTAACTGATGAAACTTGAGGAAAATAAACATACGACTGCACAAAATATGTGGTTTATCTGTGTTCTTCAATCTTGGGTATGTTTATAAGTAAAGTATATTTATAATGCAATGTTAATCAACATGGCCTTTATCACTGAATATAATACTATCATTCTGTAATGTGAAACCACGTCTGATCACAAAAAGAAGTATTTCAAACACTCGACTATGTTATTAAGTTAATTTGGAGAAAAAGCATGTCAATAAATTATAACTTTGTTGGACAACAGTTTTGTAAACAGGCTCATACACATGCAAAACTGTATCGCACACGTGCTACTGTAGTACATTTATTCAGACCGATTTTTTTGCGCTGTACAGCCCTAACCAAACACCTCCGTGAAGTTGGCCCCCCCACCCAACGCAAAACGTCGGCAAAATAGTCTCAATCGTTTGTGCTGTAAAAATTTTCGTTTGTGCTGCTTCGGTTTTTTAGATATTAAAATAATATTTATAGGTCGTTCTGAGGTCACTCAGCCCCCCAACATACTCCAAATTCAACCCAAATAGTCTTGTTTGTTTGTGCTTCGTTTGTGCTGGTTTGTGCAGGTAAAAGTTTCGTTTGTGCTGCTTCGGTTTTTTAAATATTAGACATTGAATTATAGGTGATGACGTCACTCAGCCCCCCCACATGCTCCAAAATCACGAAAAAATTTTTTGTTTAAAAAATTAGTTTGTGCTGCTTCGGTTTTTTAAATATTAGACATTGAATTATAGGCGATGACGTCACTCAGCCCCCCCACATGCTCCAAAATCACGAAAAATTTTTTTGTTTGTTTGTGCTTCGTTTGTGCTGGTTTGTGCCGTAAAAAATTAGTTTGTGCTGCTTCGGTTTTTAAGATATTAAAATAATATTTATTGCTCATTTTCTGAGGTCACTCAGCCCCCCACTGCTCCAAAATTGACCCCAAATAAGTTTGTTTGTTTGTGCTTCTTTTGTGCTGGTATGTACAGGTAAAAGTTTTGTTTGTGCTGCTTCGGTTTTTAAAATATTAGACATTGAATTATAGGCGATAACGTCACCAGCCCCCCCACATGCTCCAAATTCACCCAAAATAATCTTTTTTGTTTGTGCTTCGTTTGTGCTGGTAAAAGTTTCGTTTGTGCTGCTTCGGTTTTTAAAATATTAGACATTGAATTATAGGCGATAACGTCACCAGCCCCCCCACATGCTCCAAATTCACCCAAAATAATCTTTTTTGTTTGTGCTTCGTTTGTGCTGGTTTGTGCAGGTAAAAGTTTCGTTTGTGCTGCTTCGGTTTTTAAAATATTAGACATTGAATTATAGGCGATAACGTCACCAGCCCCCCCACATGCTCCAAATTCACCCAAAATAATCTTTTTTGTTTGTGCTTCGTTTGTGCTGGTAAAAGTTTAGTTTGTGCTGCTTCGGTTTTTTAGATATTAAAATATTATTTAGTGATAAAATAGAGACTATTTTGCCAACGTTTTGCTTTGGGTGGGGGGCCAACTTCACGGAGGTTAACCACCCCAGTTAAAGCTCAAGTTCCTCATTTAGCGATATAGGCTACTCCTCCTCAATTTCACGTCCGCTTTCCGTGATGTCGCTCTGCATTGTCGCACACAGAAATATGTCAACAACTAGACTTTATCGTTATTATCGCAGGAAGTCTAATTCTTATCGTGAGGAGAATTTTTACCGGTATATCACAAACGATAAGATATCGCCCATCCCTAGTCTGAGGTAAGACACCAGTCCAGTCTTTACTGTCAATCAAACTATTGTGGGAGGGGCCTGTTTTTGTGATGTCACACAGACAGGCATCTGAGATCGGCTCGATTTGAGAAAGGGGAAAACATTTAACGCGATTAAAAAAAACACTGGGTGGATTTTTATCATTATAGGCTGGTTGTGTACACACACTACCAACACACATTTCAGTTCAAACAACTTGTAAAAGTGCATGTAGCATCCTGTGACCCCTTTAAGAAGTGCTACAAACGCTTATTCCAAAATGAAAGCGTGCTGAAAATGAAAGTACTGCAAAACAGCAATATTTCACACTGCTGGTGAGCCAAAAACACTGGTAATTACTAGCATATGAACAAAGCCAGTGAAGTTACTGCATGGTCAGGAATAGAGTCAGACAGTGCTGGACGACAATAACACAAAAAGTGATATATTCAAATAAATGTTGATAAAGTATATTAAAAAACAAATGTTTCATGTGCAAATGAGAAATATATTTACTGTTCCCATAACACAATTCCTGTGAAGCAGATAGTCATCTACTCGTATGAATGGGCCACTGTGAGAGGAAGCAGAACTTATGCATTACTGAATGAGTTGGAATTTGAATACTTTGTCACTTCCCAGGCTGCAACAAGCTGATTATAGAGTTTAATAATCAGTACCATCAAATAAGTCTGAAAGTAGTGTGTAGAGAAGAAAATATAAAATGAAGAGTTGCAATTAAATGAGTCATTCACAGGTTTCACACAGATATTAAACATATTGTGCTATTTTATATTCACTCAAAAAACAGAAGCGGTTCTAGCAGTTCTGAGACAGTTACCATAAATATAAACCACTTCATAATTATTACGAGCATTTAAATTAGCTGAATTTTCAGCATCATTACTTCAGTCTTCAGTGTCACATGATCAGAAATTATGAATTTAGTATTATTATTATTCAGGATTCTTTGATAAATAGAACAGCATTTATTTGAAACAAAATGTTAAATGTTTTTACTGTCCTTGCTGAAAAAAGTATTAATTTATTTAAGGAAAACATGCAAAAAAAAAAAATGTAAATCTGTATATAAAGATGTACAACCAGAAATCCTATTAGAAAGATATGTCTAGTACTTAGTGTGTTTTATCTCTCAGCTCTTAAAAGTGCCAGGCACAGGAATGGCTGAAAAGGACCTACTAAACACTCTTTACGACATAATTTGAATAGAAAAAGTTTATTTGAAAAAAAAAAGTAGTTTTGTTTACATATAATCTGGAGTCTGTTGTATTTGTTTATGAACGTGAGAAACATAGCTATAACAACAGCTGCTATTATGAGATGTTGAAGGAGTGAAACCTCATCTTGAGTGAGTTTTGAGAGCGTCTCGAAATGTAAGCATGTGTCATTTGGAAACACTGGAGCTGAAACAGGAGATCATTAGCTGTTAACAACAGCTGTAAACTTTCACAGAGAGTTCTACTGCGAGGAAGCAAATAATCTCAAAACATATTGGCTTAGGTTTGCCATAAACCTACATAATTCAGTACAGGTAAGAGAGAGAAAAAAAACAATAACTTGAACCTATGTTTGGTACACTCTCAGAAAAAAGGTACAAAAGCTGTCACTGGGAAATTACCTTCTCAATAGGTACAAATATGTACATTTATATGCACCCTTTAGGGGTAAATAAAGTACAAAAGTGTGCATTTTGAAAAGATACTGCCCAAGTGACAGCTTTTGTATTTTGAGAACAAATTGAGAGTTTGTTCTTCAGGTTAAAAAATAAAACTGTAACGTGGTTTTGTAACTTCATAAAACAAGAGCTCTTCATCACTGCCAAGCTCCATCACACCAACTAAAACCATATCAGAGCTTTAACAACCATCTAATGTTTTGCCACTGAGTTCAGGTGAGATATCTGCACCTGTTTACAACAACAGATCTCTAATGATACCCAAACTAGTTTCTGAAACTGCCATCCATCATCAAATTGCTGGACTTTTATTTAGCTCATGAAATAAAAATTGAGGCAATGACATCATGTGAGTGCTAATGGTTCAGATATGGATCAACACTACTGTATGCTCCACTACTGATGTCTAAAACCCACTGCATAACCCTGAAAGATACAGCCCAGGATACACCAAAAGCAACGCATTACACCCAATATATTTTATGCTCAAACTATACTCTTCATACCCGACATATAAATCATCACAAACAAACCTATTCTCTTCATGGAACAAGACACTTTAAGCAAGACGGTGTTATACTGATTTTAGTTCAATAAACAAGAAGATACTTATGAACAACTTGCAGTTTAGACAATATTAGCCTACCAGTTACTTTGCCTGTTAATTCGTTGTTATGACGTCCCACATTCAAGTCGTGAACATAACAGGGAAGTAGCCTACACTAAATGAAAGAACTGATATATAGGCCTACCTAATTTAAGTATTTTCATGAGAAAATTATTGAAAGATTAATTTCAGAAATTAAGTCCCCGATTTAGGCCACTCACAGCAAAGTTCCCTTATGTAAAAATAAGTTTGAAAAATCTGATGTTAGGAAACATCCCGGTATAATGTTAGCAAACACTTCTGGAAGCGGCTTTTTGATGAATATGTACATATGTGCTGTGCGCTTTCCTCTCAAAACCAAAATAAACACAACTAAAATGACAGCGGTGAGAAAACAGCAGTTAAGAAAGCATCTGACCATAGCGATGTGGATATGTTTGCATGAGCTCTGAAATTCAGCACTCCAGTGACAACGTCACATTTATTTATATGGCACTTTATGCAAAAAGATTGCTATGGGGAGAATCACAACATTACGAACTTTTTTTGGAAGTAAAAAAAGTCAATAAAAATCGGACAAATAGACGAAGGTTCAAGATTGTGTACTTAACGGCTTTAGAGAGGGAAGGAACTACAATAAAGCCATTAATCAAATTAAAAATTAACTATTAATTTAAAGATTTTGGTTGTATCTATACAAACAGTATTTTAAGCTCTTTGCAAAATATGCATATATATATATATATATATATATATATATATCATGGTAATGGATATGACAATGTTAATGTATTTGGTCTTGGATAGAATAGATCTGCTACACTGCTGCTGCTGAATTGTTGCTGCTGTTAGTTATTGCTGTATTTGTAGATTATTGATGCTGCTGCAAGCAAGTACAGGAACTTGCTACTGCCAATACATAAGCCGATATGGTGCTGTGAGTATTTAAGACATACTGCTGCTGCACAAATAGCATATAAAATAACCCGTAGCAGATCTATACAGGTGGAGCTGGGGAAGGTGAAGGATTTCAGAGGAAATCTGAAAGCGTGCTGCAATGCTCAAGCGAATGCTAATCAGCCATTTAAATGTAAAGCAGCAAGCTCATTGGCTGCGTATGCAACATGAACCAATCAGCTTGTGACAAGTCTTTTAGTGCTAAGAATATCATCAGTTACGTTAAGGACCCATAGCCTGCGCCATCTAGAGTTTCATGACAGAACTTGGTATAGGCTTATATATGCGTTTTATTATGTAATCGACTTGGACCAGTGGTCGTTCGATATTGTTCTAAATGACGTCACGCCAGTTCATTCTTCAATTTCACTTGAAGGATATCAGGGCCTTTACAATGATTATTTATTAGTAAAACTGGAGTGGAGAGGTTATTAGATTTATTGACTAATTGATTGATTAATCATTAGTTAATTCATAGTTATCAATTAATGTTTAGTTGTAGCCATACAGGCTGTTTACATGACACCGTTTTCAAATTGGCCATTCATTTAGGCGACAGGACAACAGCGTTTTAATGGCCTGAAAATGCAAACTTTTGGAAAAGGTTTCAAAGCATCGTCTCCGTGTGAACTACAAAAACACAAAATTGTGAAAACAGTCATGTGCATGCAAGTTCAGTTCATATAGGAGCAAGTATCTTTACAAAATGACATCACCAACTTCTGGCCTGGTACGCACACTGAGTTTTAGTCGATTTGCACGGATCCGTGTGAACGGGGACCGTTCTGACGTTTTCTTCTGTATGCGAAACTTCCATTTTGTAGTCCATTCCCTGATAGCACACGTACATCACAGAGACGTCTATTTGACGTCTGCATTTACATCTACAAAACGTATTTTTTAGAGTGTTTGCTCATCTGCAATCCTATAGGAATTTCCTATCAGATGTCAAATAGACGTTTAGAAAATGTCTTTAAGATGTTTATGATTTAGAATGAATGTAAAACTGACATCTTAGGGACGTCTATCAGATGTTTGTACACGGCAGATGCTTTCCAGATGAAACAGGCATCTTGCAGACGTAGAAAGGTAGAAAACACTTATGCTTCGACTTTCAAAAATAGGTCCTGTACTTTCTCATCATTTGCACATGGCGAACAGAGACAAACACAGTGATGATAAAAGTCCCAATGCTGTTGGACTAAATATCAGCACTCAGAACAATCAGATTCGAGGACCAGAACGAACTGTAGTATAATGGTTCACAACAAGCCACAATAAGAAGGCCATCCAAGCATCAACAAAACCCAAAACATCAACAATTTCGCAAAACAGAAAAGGACTGCAGCAATAAAAGCATCTCAGACAACTTGAACCTGCCCGAAGGCCCGTGAAAAAGGGCTAACCGAGCGCAAAAAAGTAGCGCATGGCCCATATTATGTAGCTCCATTTGAAGTGATGCTGCCGCATGACCTTCTATAGGCCACAAATACATCAGCAGGGAGAGTTTAATGCATGTATCCCGGCACAGTAATGGGCATAAAGGGCAGACAGCATAACAAAGCGCCGCATTGTTCATTCTGCTCGAAGGATATGCCGTCTGCCCCTTATGCCCGCTCTCCTCTCGCGTCACATTCACCTGTCCCGTCTGTATTCGCCCTCCTCGGACTCACCCAAAACGCCCGTTGATGTGGGTTGAGGGGCAGCGCTGTGCTGCTGCTGCTCTGGCCGCTCCGCGTCTCCCTGCGCTCGGTGTCTGTGCCGCGAGCTCTCGCTGTCGCTGCTGCTGATGTTGCTCGCCGATGATGCAGCAGCCGCCGCCGTGTCGGGCATCATGCTGCCGCCGCTTTAGCGGGGAGTGGATGTAGAAATGGGGCAAGTGTGTGTGGATACACACTGGCTGGGTTAAATGAAGGTGAGGGTGAAGTGAAGGTTGTTGTGAGTCATCCTATTTGCGGCGGGATGCGAGGAGAGACCAACTGCGGCGTGAGGAGGAGTACTATGGTGGAGGAGGGACAAAGAAGAGAAGAAATACACCGTCTCTCTCTCTCTCTCTCTCTCTCTCTCTCTCTCTCTCTCTGCTTTCAAACACTCAGATCCAGATATAGTCTACTCACACTGGCACTCTCTCATAGCAGACATGCATTAGCTGGCTGACCTCAGCAGGAGTGTATTGATGTATTGATGTGTACATTAGAAATCAAACCTCAGCATTTAGAATGTCAAAACTCTTTTAGGCTGAAGGTTTAGAGATTTGCTGACTTATGCAGACTATGTTATGAAATGCAATATATTATCACAGTATTTATCTATTTTGTATTTGTTTTGGCCAAAAAGTTAATTGTAAAAATTGCTGATAAATAGATTACTGGATGTTTTGCAAGAGAATACTGCTTGTTGTGAATACATTTCTTCCTCTGTATTTCTGTGGGACTAAAATGAGAGACAGACTGAAAGGATGAAGCAGGGTATTATTTATTAATTCATGCAAAAAATATCTTCCCAGCTGAATATTTCAGAATGGCGTAACTATGAAGGTGATCTATTATACCTCTCTCTGAACATATGAATTGAAAGCACATAACAGGGAGGTTTTCTCCATAATTCAGGCAGATCTGCAGTCAAGAATAATTATTCAGATACAGTCTAAAATATGATTTATATTTAAATGGTGATTTATATTAACATTAACCAGATTGTGTTTGATTTAAACACAGTTCTGCATTTAAATTCCTGTAAGATATTATAAATAAATAAATGTGTAATAAAACTCTTGTGATCCAACTGTATATTGTCACAACCCAAATGGTCTCATTACCACAAATGAATCTGATTGCACTAAAATGATAAACACAATGCATTTTGATGAAATAGTGTAGAATATAAAAAGACCGTTAAATGTTAAAGAATTGAGCATTACATGAAATAGCTTTCACAAGCAATCACCTCAGCTAACAGTAACTCATTACTTAAACATGCACTCTTCACAGCCTCACTAAAAAGCCAATGGCGACTGCCCATCGGCAGTTTGATGATCTATGGGTATTTAAACTTGTTCAGTATCCAAATTAGAGCAGCACGAACACCCAAAGCCTTTAATAATTAGACAGGAATTATAAAATGTTGCATGAAGTAAATCACACACTTATTAACTTTTACTGGATGACAGCATAAACAGTCATTGCTTGCCGTTTTGTGTTCAACGAAACATTAAAAGCATTTTTGACTGAACAATAAATTATAAAAAGTGCATGCATAATTATACAGAAATAAAAAAAAGTCAAATATAATATGTAATAGCTACTCCAGGATTGCTGACACTATAGAATTAGATTATGATCATTTCAATTTAACACTAGGACAGCTAGCCTAATGTCTCATAATACTAGTGTCTCACGGACAGAATTGTAGTGCGCACAAGGGAGGAGTTTTATTTGATTGACAGTGAAGCTGGACGACGCGGACCAATCAAATCCACCCGAGCGGAATCAATAACAAAGCGCCTGGGAAATAACTGTCCTAAACAGTGTTGCCAATTTAGCAATTTTGTTGCTAAATTTAGCAACTTTTCACACTACACTAGCAACTTTTTCTTCCAAAGCACCTAGCAACAAATTTAGCTATTTTTACATTTTATTTGGCTACTTTTAGCAACTTTTGATAAGTGACTCAAACGATTTGAGTCACTTAAAAATTGACTGTTAATTGTATTTGCAAGTGCAAGGCTTATTCAACTTTTTCTCTGAAAGCCTAAAAATGTAATTACTGTCACACAGTAACAAAAATACATACCATCACGCATTCACTTGAAGATCTTTATCGCAGGGCATGAGATAAATGTGTTAATGTTGTTGAAAGGTTAAAGAAGTTTAATTTATTTTAAGATTGTAGAGTCAAGTCCCTGGGTGATTATGCAGTGTATTTGTTTATGAAAGATTATGAAATATACACTACCAATCAAAAGTTTAGGGGGAGACTTTTTCACCAATGCTGCATTTATTTGATAAAAAAATTACAGTAAAAGCAGTAATATTGTGAAATATTATTATAATTGAAAATAACTGTTTTATATTTTAATGTTTAAAAATGTATTCCATTGATGGCATAGCATAACATTTCAGCAGGCATTACTTTTTGCTGCCTAAGAAACATTTTTTTATTCTCAATGTTGAAAACAGTTGTGCTGCTTTCTAATTTTGTGGAAACTGATACGTTTTTTTCAAAATTCTTTGAATAGAAAGTTCAAAAGAACAGCATTTATTTGAAATAAAAATCTTTTGTAGCATTATAAATATATTTTTTGTCACTTTTGATCAATTTAATGTATCCTTGCTCAATAAAAGTGTTGATTTCTTTCAAAGAAATATTTCTTACTGACGCCTGAACTTTTGAACAGTAGTGCATATCGAATGTACAGTTACAACAGTATATAAATTACATATTAATTCTGGTATGACACATTCCACTCTTCACACTTTCAGGTCCTGGTAGTTTCACAGGAGAGGACAGCGCAGAGTTTCACATCCACGAGGGTCCTGCTGCCATTAGTGGATTCTTACAAGCACTTGGTATGTGGGAGAGAGATCAACCATTATTTTCCCGAATTGTTCTGAAATGTTTGTGTAACATTTGTGTATGTTTGTGTAAACCCTCTATATGTATTTTATCATCAGAATTCTATATTGCAAACAGCTAGTTGTTGAATCAGCATTTTAACACTAGATGGCAGTATCTGTGTTATGCTTGGAAATATCTAGCTTTTATTTAATATGCATGTAGCAAGTATTTACTCATTCGTTTCTCCTTTTAAGTGAAGTAGTATTTTATTAACTTATAGCCTTTATCTGAAGATATTATAAAATGTAAATGCTTCTAAATAGTGACGTGATAAAGTAAATTTTATTTTAAAGATATCTTATTCTGTGTGTTTCAGGTGAGTTTACCCAACGGGCGTTCTATGCTGGAAAATTGGACCTTACTGAAGTAGAGGGTCTAGGTGACCTGATCAGATGCAGAGACAGAAGCACAGAGGCGACAGGCTCTCCGACAAATGGCAGGAGACCTGGGCCGCATTTATCAAGCCTGGAGTGTTCGGCTTAAACGAGTAAGTAAAGGGTTGATCAGGAATATCTCTTGTTTTTAGAACTTCTTTATGGCCCAGTCTTTGTCATCTGACCCACATATTAAAGGGGTCATATGATGTTGCTAAAAAGAACATTATTTTGTGTATATGGTGTAATGAAATGTGTTTATGCGGTTTAAGGTTCAAAAAACACATTATTGTCCACATACTGTACATTATTGTTTCTCCTCTATGCCCCGCCTTTCTGAAACGCGTCGATTTTTACAAAGCTCATCGTTCTGAAAAGCGAGGTGTGCTGTGATTGGCCAGCTATCCAGTGAGTTGTGATTGGCCGAATACCTCAAGCGTGTGATGGAAATGTTACGCCCCTTACCATACTGTGATGCCTTGCAAGCGATGAGACAAAAACATTAAAACCCATTATAAACGAGGAATTTGTTGCATCCAGTGGGGACATAATTACGGATTATAATGACTTATACTGTCTTTTTATGCGTTGCATTGCGCCGCGTAAACATAAAACCATGTCTGCATTTGTGATCGGAGAAATGACAAACAACAAGCGCTACTCTACACTGCCAGCATAAACAGTCATTGCTTGCCGTTTTGTGTTCAACGAAACATTAAAAGCATTTTTGACTGAACAATAAATTATAAAAAGTGCATGCATAATTATACAGAAATAAAAAAAAGTCAAATATAATATGTAATAGCTACTCCAGGATTGCTGACACTATAGAATTAGATTATGATCATTTCAATTTAACACTAGGACAGCTAGCCTAATGTCTCATAATACTAGTGTCTCACGGACAGAATTGTAGTGCGCACAAGGGAGGAGTTTTATTTGATTGACAGTGAAGCTGGACGACGCGGACCAATCAAATCCACCCGAGCGGAATCAATAACAAAGCGCCTGGGAAATAACTGTCCTAAACAGTGTTGCCAATTTAGCAATTTTGTTGCTAAATTTAGCAACTTTTCACACTACACTAGCAACTTTTTCTTCCAAAGCACCTAGCAACAAATTTAGCTATTTTTACATTTTATTTGGCTACTTTTAGCAACTTTTGATAAGTGACTCAAACGATTTGAGTCACTTAAAAATTGACTGTTAATTGTATTTGCAAGTGCAAGGCTTATTCAACTTTTTCTCTGAAAGCCTAAAAATGTCATTACTGTCACACAGTAACAAAAATACATACCATCACGCATTCACTTGAAGATCTTTTTCGCAGGGCATGAGATAAATGTGTTAATGTTGTTGAAAGGTTAAAGAAGTTTAATTTATTTTAAGATTGTAGAGTCAAGTCCCTGGGTGATTATGCAGTGTATTTGTTTATGAAAGATTATGAAATATACACTACCAATCAAAAGTTTAGGGGGAGACTTTTTCACCAATGCTGCATTTATTTGATAAAAAAATTACAGTAAAAGCAGTAATATTGTGAAATATTATTATAATTGAAAATAACTGTTTTATATTTTAATGTTTAAAAATGTATTCCATTGATGGCATAGCATAACATTTCAGCAGGCATTACTTTTTGCTGCCAATGTTGAAAACAGTTGTGCTGCTTTCTAATTTTTTGGAAACTGATACGTTTTTTTCAAAATTCTTTGAATAGAAAGTTCAAAAGAACAGCATTTATTTGAAATAAAAATCTTTTGTAGCATTATAAATATATTTTTTGTCACTTTTGATCAATTTAATGTATCCTTGCTCAATAAAAGTGTTGATTTCTTTCAAAGAAATATTTCTTACTGACGCCTGAACTTTTGAACAGTAGTGCATATCGAATGTACAGTTACAACAGTATATAAATTACATATTAATTCTGGTATGACACATTCCACTCTTCACACTTTCAGGTCCTGGTAGTTTCACAGGAGAGGACAGCGCAGAGTTTCACATCCACGAGGGTCCTGCTGCCATTAGTGGATTCTTACAAGCACTTGGTATGTGGGAGAGAGATCAACCATTATTTTCCCGAATTGTTCTGAAATGTTTGTGTAACATTTGTGTATGTTTGTGTAAACCCTCTATATGTATTTTATCATCAGAATTCTATATTGCAAACAGCTAGTTGTTGAATCAGCATTTTAACACTAGATGGCAGTATCTGTGTTATGCTTGGAAATATCTAGCTTTTATTTAATATGCATGTAGCAAGTATTTACTCATTCGTTTCTCCTTTTAAGTGAAGTAGTATTTTATTAACTTATAGCCTTTATCTGAAGATATTATAAAATGTAAATGCTTCTAAATAGTGACGTGATAAAGTAAATTTTATTTTAAAGATATCTTATTCTGTGTGTTTCAGGGAGTTTGCCAGGTCTGCGGACTGCAGAAGCAGGTGAGTTTACCCAACGGGCGTTCTATGCTGGAAAATTGGACCTTACTGAAGTAGAGGGTCTAGGTGACCTGATCAGATGCAGAGACAGAAGCACAGAGGCGACAGGCTCTCCGACAAATGGCAGGAGACCTGGGCCGCATTTATCAAGCCTGGAGTGTTCGGCTTAAACGAGTAAGTAAAGGGTTGATCAGGAATATCTCTTGTTTTTAGAACTTCTTTATGGCCCAGTCTTTGTCATCTGACCCACATATTAAAGGGGTCATATGATGTTGCTAAAAAGAACATTATTTTGTGTATATGGTGTAATGAAATGTGTTTATGCGGTTTAAGGTTCAAAAAACACATTATTGTCCACATACTGTACATTATTGTTTCTCCTCTATGCCCCGCCTTTCTGAAACGCGTCGATTTTTACAAAGCTCATCGTTCTGAAAAGCGAGGTGTGCTGTGATTGGCCAGCTATCCAGTGAGTTGTGATTGGCCGAATACCTCAAGCGTGTGATGGAAATGTTACGCCCCTTACCATACTGTGATGCCTTGCAAGCGATGAGACAAAAACATTAAAACCCATTATAAACGAGGAATTTGTTGCATCCAGTGGGGACATAATTACGGATTATAATGACTTATACTGTCTTTTTATGCGTTGCATTGCGCCGCGTAAACATAAAACCATGTCTGCATTTGTGATCGGAGAAATGACAAACAACAAGCGCTACTCTACACTGC